GCCCTTGGACATCCCCACAATTCAGCAACAATGAAACTTGTAGTATTTTAGTATAAACCTAGGACCCCAGATCCCGGCTCCTTTGGTAGGACCAGAATCAGCTCTGACTGGTTCATGCCTGTGTCCTGGCGTTTAAACATTGTTTATAACCATGGAGTGCACATGTGCACATACACATGCATGCATACACACACCCCACACCACCCCATCACGTATGACAGAAGACTACAGCGAGGGAAGGTGATGTGTTTAAACGCACTCAGCAGGCAGATCCATGCCTAGAACTCAGGTCTCCTGTCCACAGGCTCCCCCAAGCCCCACAAGACCCTGTGCCAGGGATGGTGCTGGGTGGGGAGGTACCCTGAGTCCCTGGATGCTTCTGGTGTCTCCCCATTGCTTCTCCAAGAGCAGATTCCAGTCTGTAGGCCATCTCGAGGCCTCCCACATGCCCTCCTTGTTTCTCCAAGGAGCCTCGTGGAAGAGGAGATCCCCTCCCTACCCACTTCCATCCTTCTCCTCTTGGCCTGCATCTTTCTCAGCAAGCTTCTAGCAGCCAGTGCCATCTGGGCTGCGGCCTGGCATGGGCAGAAACAGGAGACACCCCCGGCCAGTGAGCCAGACCGTGGCCATGACCCAGGTTACCAGCTCCACACCCTGACAGGTAAGCTTGGAGAGCACAGCGGTGGTTGGGGGTGGACCGGGCAGGGATGGAGGGTGGGGCTGAGAGTGAGTACTCGGTCTGTTGCAGGGGAAAGAGACACATGAGAGAAGAGGACCCCACATGGAAGGAGAGGTCTGGGAGAGGTCTGCAGAGACCACCGCAGTCTGCACACTCACCTCTGGGCCATCAACACTCCTGGTTTTGCTTTGGCAAAAGGCTACTCTGCCTGTCTTCTCCTGGACCCTGGAAGCAGGGATGCATATGTGCACATGTGTGTATGTGCGTGCATGTGTGTGCCTGGAAGGTGGAAAGGACATCTATCAACTTCTAGACGTTGGACATTAAACACTCTCACAAATAAATCCAAGAGACCGTGTTTACGTGGATGGTTTGGGGCATCACAAAGGCTTTCTCTGGCTAGGAGACAGAATTTGGATGAGGGCAAGATCAAAGGTCTGGCTCCTGAGGCCTAGGGTCTTAGGATACCACGTCTCTCCATCCTCACAGGCTCCACATCGGCCAATCTTTCTATTCTTCTCTCTCCCTTCCCTAGAGCTAATCACCAAGCCCAGCCTCTTCCTCTTGAATTTCTCCAGTATCTAGGCTTCATCTCCTCTTGCTTCCTGTCCATCAGTTCCCCAAGATTGTTGCTGGCCTCCCTCCGCCCCCCGCCACCCCCAAATCCATCCAATTCCCAGCTGACTCATCCATCCGTCTCCCTGGAGCTTTGCTTTCATCATGTTACTTCCCCTCCAGAGAAACGACCAGGGCTTAAGTTACACAGTGCAGCGTACCCGAGCTGGGAGCTCCTGGTCCAAGCCCCTCACTGTGCAGAAGGGAAACTGAGGCCTAAAAGGGAAAGGATTTACCTGAAGTCCCCAGTAGAGGGTGGAAATTCAAATTTCACTTGGCGTTCAAGGTGGCCTTCCCTCTAGCTCAATCCTACGCACGTATTTATTTCTTTATTCGACAGATATTCCCTGTGCCACGCACTAGTCTAGGTGTTGGGGACACAACAGTGAACAAATCAGGCAAAGATTTCTGTCCACACAGAGCAATGTCTTGGCGGGAGGAGAGGAAGACAGACGAACACAATAAATCAGTCAGTCAGATGGTTGGAGCCTGGGGAATTCAGAAGGGATGGGGGTGAAGCAATTCTAAAGGGTGGTCAGAAGTCCCACTTAAGAAATACTTGGGGGAGGCGAGGAAGTGAACCACGAGCACAGCACGGGGAGAGCATTCAGGACGGGGGGACAGCCAGGGCAGCTCAGGGCAGCTCAGGGCAGCTCCGTTCTCTTTTCAATACACACTCAGCACCAGGGCTAAGAGTGAAGGATGGAGACCTCCCCAGGTGGGCGGCCAGGAAGAGGAGGAAACGAGTTGACCGCAACCTGGGCTCTCTGTCCTGGGTTTCAGAGAGCTGGGAGGCCAGGAGCCCTTCTGGCCATGGCTGCATGTGGCTGCTTTGCCCTCTAACCTGGCCGTGGGCACCTGGGGTTTTGAATGGTTGGGAAAGAGCCCCTGATGCAGCCCTGAGTTCCAGCCTCACATCGACACATCACTCCCCCGGCCCCAGCCCTGCCCCCACCCTGACTTGCCCACCTCCCTGAGGCTGCTCTGCTGGCCCTGCCCCGGAGCTCCAGGACTCTGGTCTAATCTATTTCCCTGGCCTTCCTGACTCGGTGGCGCGTGATACTTCCTCATTGTGTCCCCGGGCAGGGTCTAGGCACCAAGACTGAGCTGAGCCCTAACTGAGCTGGCTCCACCTCCCTCCTGCCCCGTCTGGTGCCCAGGGCTGATGAGGTGGCAGAGGAGGCGCCCGGGGGTGCCTGGCAGTGGAGCGCGGCTGGAACTTTCCTCCTCTTGGGCACTCGGCCTTTTCTCTTTCCTGCTCTGCCATGTCGGAAACATCCACCTCTGGATTTGGATTGTCATCAGGATTCCCCTGCCTCGCATCCCAATGTGGGGATCCATTGGGCTGAATGGCACACTGGGGGCACACTGGACCGAAGGGAGTCAGATATTTTGGTTTCAAACTTCAGCTTTGCCTCCTACTAAGAAACGTTAAGCAAGTTCCTTAACTCCTCTGAGTCTCAGGGTCCTCTCTTATTAAACAAAACAAAACAACCCTACTTCACTGGGTTTCTGTGAGGTTGAAAGAAATACCGTTAGTGACAGTCCCTGGCCCACTGTCTGGCTGTAGGTACTCCATAAACACTGGCCTTTCTTCCTCTTCTCTAACGCCCAACATTATGACACCTCCCTGGAGGCCAGGCTCCTGCTGGTCACCTCTGTCCTGGGTCCCCAGCAGAGGACTGAATCCATTTTAGGCATTCGGTTAAATATTGCAGACAGGTCTCATCTTCACACACCACTCCCGGGAGGCTTGTTAATGTGAAAATAACTTTCTTGTAAGGAAATCAAAGAAAGCCTGATACGTGTTGGCAGGACAGAGAGAAGTACTTCCACATCACCCACCACGATGACCCACCCATCCAGTTAGCCCGAGACTTCGCCAGTGTTAGCACTGAAAGTCCCATGTCCCAGGAAAATCCTCAGTCCTGGGCCAATAGGAACTGCTGGTCACCCTATCACCACTTGCACCAGGCTCAGTTTACCACACCAGCCACCTTTCTCAGGCTCCTGCTCCAAGTTTCCCATTCTTGACTCCCTTGCTCCCGAAGGAAGATAAAGGCAGAGAGAGGGAAGGAAGGGAGAGCGCAGGGGAGAGGGAGGAGGGAGGGCGGCTGTCCAGGTCGGGGCAATGTGCCCTCCCCGCCACCCCCTACTTGCCTGCTCTTGTCTCTCCGAGCTCCAGTGCTCCCCCTGCTTTCCCAGGTCAGGAGGTTTATTACTCACTGTCTGCGCAGGATCCCCAACCCCAATTCTACACAGGGGGATGTGAATGAGGGCCAGATGTTTCCTGGACAGGCGGTCGGTTTGAGTCATGGGAAAGGAACCCCAAATTATGAGACTTAGAGCTTATATAGCACGTCTGGCCTACTGGCCTATCTTCCTCTTTAGAGAGAGAGAGAGAGACCTTTAGTCTAGAGCATGAACAGATCTCATGGGGGCGGTGGGAGTGGGGGAGGCATGGATGTAAGCAGAGCTCTCTGGAGCTGATACACCATGTCTAGCACCTGAGGCACATTTGCTGTTCAGTCACCCTGGAACCAAGCAGAAATGTGAAAATCTTCACGGAGAATTATCTCCCAACAGAGAGGAGAGTGTATTCATGAAACAAAAATAATACGCTGTAAATAAGAAGTGCTTGGAGAATAAGAAATCCTGTAAATTAAAAACACTAAGGAGGGGGTTGGCCCTGTGGGCGAGTGGTTAAGTTTGCATGCTCCGCTTTGGCAGCCCAGGGTTTCACCGGTTTGAATCCTGGGCGGGGACATGGCACCACTCATCAGGCCATGTTGAGGCAGCATCCCACATGCCACAACAAGAAGGACCCACAACTGAAAAATATATACAACTATTTACTGGGGGGCTTTGGGGGAGAAAAAGGAAAAATCAAATCTTTAAAAAAAAACCACTAAGGAAAAAAATTTAAAAGACAATGATAGAAAGGACAGAAGAAAAAGATAAGGATCCCTTCTAGAAATCAAAACAAAATGGACAGAAAGATGGAAAATGGGAGCAAAAAGGTATGAAAATGAGGTGAATACCTGAGGGTCAATTCTCCACTAATCAAGGAATTCCAGAAGAACAGAGAGGGAGAAAAAGAAAACGGAGAAGTAATTATTGAAGAAATAATGCAATTCCCAGAACTGGAGAATACGGGTCCACACTGAAAGGGTCTGGAGAGCACCCAGCCCAGCAAATGAAGACAGGCCGGTCCACGGCACACCGTCGAGGTGGGACTTCGTGCTGCGAGGGTGTGCTGCAGGAGAAGGACCATCTCCTGACAGCCTGGGCGGGGCACTCGCACAGAACCTGGAATCAGAATGGCCTTGGACTGTGGGTGGGAAACTTGACACCCCTCCTTCACAGCTCTGCGTCCTCAGATTCCACACAGGGAGGACCCTGAAGATCACCTTCCCTCTTTCTCTATTGCTCTCTGGTGGCTGCCATCCTCCTCCCTCCTTATCCCTTAGCTGGGCCCAGCCGGCTGCCTTTCCTCAGGCCTTCTCCCCTGCCTTGTCCACCCCCACCCTCGAGGTCAGTTCCTGAGCACTGAGCCAACCAGGAATTGGAAAGGCTTGTCATACCCAACCATGGAGGGGCCCACCAGTGCCTGCCTCCCACCCCTTGGTCACTGACAGCCCCACGTGACAGTCTGAGGCAGATGTTTCCTGCCCCCAGGGCATTGCTGTGTCAGTGTCCAGGCAAGCCCCGGAGCTGACATCTCCCTGCCCAGCCATGGGCCCCCACCTGCTCCTGCTGCTGCTCCCGGGACTAGCAGGTAAGGTTCAGACGGAGCTGCACTCTGGGCCCAAAGACTTCGCTTCGTGCCCAAGAATGATTGGCGTTACTGTGGCAGCAGCAACACGTGTGGGGCCTAGAAGGTGGGCCTCCAGGTCCCCGTGCCCTTGTGCTAGTGGTGGGCTGGGAGGTGCCCCCAGGTCCTGCCCAGCATTTCCATGTCCTTTCTTTCCCTAGGCCAGGGCTCGGCTGACAGCCTCCCTGAGAAACTGCAGGCACCTGTGGGGGGCTCCATTCTGGTGCAGTGCCATTACCGACCCCAGGACATCAAGGCTCGGAAGGTGTGGTGTCGGTTCGGGCCAGAGGGGTGCCAGCCCTTGGTGACCTCGGCTGTGGATCGCAGAGCCCCAGGGCACAGGCGCACGTTTCTCACCGACATGGGGAGCGGCCTGCTCCAGGTGGAGATGGTTACCCTGCGGGAGGAGGATGTGGGGGAGTACGGCTGCGTGGTGGAGGGAACGGCCGGGCCCCAGACGGTGCACAGAGTCGCTCTGGAGGTGCTCCCTGCGGGTGAGTTATCCTAGGCCGGCCACTGCCCCTCTGACCCGCCCTCCCCGCTCCCCGCCTGCTGCTCTTGGGTCCTTGTGAGGTGGGGGTCACTGGGGGAGGAACTGGGGGGAGATATCGTTTTGACAGCTCTTCAGGGAACGGAAACCAAACCGGGTGAGGAGTGTGAGATAAATGAGCCAATCAGCAATCCCCTCCCCTCGGCCCCGGGCGGGTCTCCCCGTGGAAGGCGTATCCTCCTCCCTCACTGTGGCCGTGGCCGCCTCCTCCAGCATTTTCACCATGCTTGAAGCTACTTTTTCTTTTCCTGGAAATGTTTGAAACCAAGTTTTAATTCTGGAATTAATTTTTTTGTATCTTCCAGATTTTTATTCCTGTAATAATGGGTTTGATGGCTTAAAAATTACTGAATTCGTATCTGATTTAATTTTATAAGTCTTCACTGAGTATCTAGCGTGCCCCTCACCTCCAGGCAGGGTACAGTCAGTGCCTGAACTACTTCAACTCATTCCATTTTGAAAACCGGAAAAGTGTCATTAACATTTAAGCCAATATTCTCAACCCTATTTTTAGTATAGAAAGCACTTTGGGGAGTGGCACAGTGGTTAAGTGCACATGCTTTGGCGGCCTGGGGTTCGCAGGTTCAGATCCTGGGTGCGGACATGGCACCGCTTGGCAAGCCATGCTGTGGCAGGCGTCCCACATATAAAGTAGAGGAAGATGGGCACGGATGTTAGCTCAGGGCCAGTCTTCCTCAGCAAAAAAAAAAAAAAAAAAGAGGAGTATTGGCAGCTGATGTTAGGTCAGGGCTAACCTTCCTCAAAAAAAAAAAAAGGAAGCACTTTATTTCTGCAGGCTTCATTTTCACAGTCTACAAATTTCTTATGTCTAAGCATTTATTAAAAGAAAATTTTAAAATAGTAAAAAAGTTTTTTTCAGAAAAATAAGGTGCAGAAAAAAAACATTCTAGAGGGAAATGGTCAGCTACCTGCAGGAGCAGAGACCATTGCTAACTTTCTCTGTTGGATGGTGACAATTTTTCATTCTAAGGTCTTCCTTTTCTCAAGTAATTTGTGCCCAATCCTCAATTAATGAAATGAGAAAGGCACTTCCCTTCTCTTGGTTTCTTTTCCATCTGTTCCTTGTGAGGATGGACTAAATTGTAATGGGATCCCTCTCATCTCGAGACCACGATTATTATTTCGTATTATAAATACACTCCTGTTAATCCCAGTCATCCTTTGTTCTTCTTTCCCGACCCTCTAAAGTCCAGGAACTCCAGGTTATACCTCCCTAAAGAGCAGATTGTGACGAGATGCACTGGGAGGAGGGGGCAGGGAGACGGGTCCCTGCAGTGGGGTAGGTGCTGGGGACCCCAACAGCTGCAGATGATGGTTGTTCAGGCAGATGGATGGAGCATGGTATCCAGGGAGGATGTGGGTGGCAGCTCAGGCAAGCGTTTAGCTTCGGAGAGTTTCATCCAAAGTGGCTTAAAAGGCACCGGGAGGGCAGGACAAATGCAGCAGGATTGGGGCCTCAGCAGGTTCAGTTCCCGGTTTGGCGTGGAGTGGGGCGTAAGAATGATGAGTCTCTAAGAACAAGGCAAGGCCCCCATCCCAGGGGGTCTAGAAGGACTGGCCAGATTCCCGAGACAGATCCTCAGGCCCAGAGAAAGCAACCCTGGGCCCACCAGCCAGAGGTCGAGTGTGTTGTAGGGATGATGGAAGCCTTGTTATGAAACTGAGTTTCGGGGTCCAAGCAAGGCTCTCAGCAAGGGTCGGGATGACCCCAGAGTTCCTTAGATCCTGAGCTCAGGATGGGGCTCAACCAGCCTGCAGGGGGTTCACATGGTTGCAGGTGCGTGGAGAGGCCTGACAGGCTGTGCTGGGGAGACCAGTTGATGAGAGCCAGGTGCAAGGTCGCCACAGAGGATGAGAGTGGAGAAACCTATTCTGGGGTGGGGAGTGGAGGTGGGCACAGATTACCCGGTTGGTGTTTCCACACGTGTGAGCAGCCTGATAGGACCAGAGGGGTGCAGGGAAGCAGATGAAGGAGAAGAAATGCAGGGGGAAGAGGGCGGGGGCTAGTGGTAGAGGGGAAAGTGGGCATATTCACAATCAGGTAAAGACATAAAGAGCGCCATTCCGTGACCCCCAGAATGAGAGGCCCCTGAGGAATATCCTAAGGCCCCCTTCTTTGAACTTCTTACTGGGGACCTCTCCTTGGTCAGGTCCACTCCCCATCCCTCAGACCTCAACGGGCCCTTGAACCCTGCCCCACTGGGTATGTGCTCATTAAATATTTGCATGTAACGCAGCTCCTGGCCTCGGTGGGGAGGAGGAAGAGAACTATAAGGCTGGCAGCCTGGCTGACGGCCCCTCCTCAGACCCTGCAGGCCGCGCCAGCCCTCCGGAACCCAGCCAGGATAAGAGGTACTGACTAGAACTGTATTTGGGGGCCCGGGAAAGGGCGGTTCTGAAGACACGCCTTGTTTAGAGCCCCAGACTAAATCAAAGGGAAACTTTATCATTCCTTCCTTGCCTGGGGACCTTCTGATCAGGTGTAGACAGACAGACAGACATACCTGTCTTATCCCAGTTCAGCAATGGTCCCTTCCTTCTGGTGGGTCTTCAGCCAGGATACCCTGATAGTGTATCTCTCTTCTGCCCTCCTCATTCCATGCCCCAAACCTCCTTCTCCCAACAATGGCTCACCAAGAACTGCACCTTTTGCCACTGCTGCAGGATTCTTGGTGGGCAGCTCCCGCCGGGTTCAGGGCTAAGCTCACCTATCCGTTTGTGTCCCTCAGCATCCCCTTGATCTGGGGCGCTGTGCTCCTGCTGGCCCTGCTGGTGGCGGCGGCGGTGCTATTTGCTGTGATGGCCAAAAGGAAAGGTAGGTGGCTGTCCACCTGCCCATCCCAGCATGGCCCTGGTGGTCCTGTGTCAACCAGTCTTGCAGATGAGGCCGGCAACCTAGGTCTGCTCCCCTACAGTTGGGCTTGTCTGGGCTTTGGCAAGGGCCCCAGACCCTAGAATTCATGTGACTGAGGGGTGGGGGTGAGGAAGGAGATTCAGGGGGAGCAGGCCTGGGGAAAGACAAGGATTGGAAAGGGTGGGGCAGTGGGATTGAGGACAGGTGACTGGAGAAGGTGGGGAAAGGGTTTCAGGAGCTGGACTGAGTGCTGAGGCAGGTTGAAGCGAGCTGCAGGAGCAGGAAGTGGGTGGGAGAGTTAGGGCAGGCTAGGGAGGGGGAGGGGCGGGGGGGCGTAAATGTTTGCTGGTGGGAGTCGGGGCGGGGGTGAGTCTGGACCAGGAAAGAGGTTTCAGAAAGGAGTGAGGGGATGGGCTTTGAGCTGGCATAGGAAGCAGACTGTCCTGCTGTCCTCTGTCCTGCCAGGGAACAGGCGTGGTGCCTGTGGCCGATTCCAGAACAGCGGAGTTCCAGGCACGGTAAGAGGTCTCTGTTGGCCCCCAGCCAGATTCTGCAGACCCTCCATCTGCCAGGCTCACTGAGGAGCTCCAGGAGGATGGGGTGGAGGAAAGACTTGGACCAGTCAGGGTCCAAACTCCCTTCCTAAATTCTGTAAACTTGGCATCAGTGGCCTCCCACCTTCCCACCTTCCCAGATTAGGAGAGGAACTTGGGGCTTCAAAATCTTCAGAGTGAAGCCCTCTCACCCACTGACATCCTCAGGATTTGGGAGACAGAGCCACTGTGGTCCTGGGCTTCCCACCAAAGGGAACTGGGGCCGAGGGAGGGTTCTCTCTTTGCCTGACGTGCCTGCTTTTGTTCCAGACCCCCTCCTCAGTGGTCCACCACATCAGTGACTCTGAACTGGCTGTCAGTTTGCCATCGGACGTACCATATGTTAGGCTCGACTCACCACCTTCCTTCGACAATACCACCTACACCAGCCTACCTCTTGATCCCCCATCAGGGAAATCCCCACTCCCAGCCCCATCCTCATTGCCCGCTCTGCCTCCTAAGGTCCTGACCTGCTCCAAGCCTGTGACATATGCCACAGTCATCTTCCCTGGAGGGGACCAGGGTGGAGAAGCCTCCTGTGAGCCAGCCCAGGATCTACCTAATAGCCAGACTCCCCCCAGCTAAGCTGCTCACCACCCTGTATGCTCACAGAGACCTCCCCGGGTTCAGTGCATCCATCCAGCCAGCCCATGCCCTAGATCCTTAGCATGTCACAGCAACTAGGGACTAGGATCTAATCTACTGTCTTGTCTTTTCTGACCTGGAAAGTGATGCTTGCTTATGATTGAGGTGTTTCGGGAAAGCCCCCCATGCTGGTTCCTCTGCCATTACACCATTGGGCTAAATAAATTCTACATTATGATATATGAGCTCTTGATGGTTGAGGGGCAAGGAAAAGGCTCGAGTCTGACTATTCAGGTGGTCTGTGAACTGAAAAGACTCTGGTCCAGAGTTTGTGCCCTAAGATCTCTTGCCTGTGCTGCCAGTGGGGAAGTGGTTTCACTCCGTCAGGATACTGCAGCGCAGTTTAAGGGGCACCGAGAAGGCTTCTTCACAAGTATTCCCATGATAGCTGAAAGGACAGATTCATTTGTTTGAGTCTAGGACCTCTTCTGCCGTCTGCTCTACACCTTCTAAACAAGTGGCTATGACGCGACAGCATATGGTGGGAGGAGGGGGATAGTGACTAGTTAAAGAAGACTCAGGACAGATGGGGTGTGAGAGATGCGGCTGAAGAGAAACAGGATTAAGGACAGAAACTGAAATATGCGCCAAGGCTATTCCTCGGCAGGACAAAGGATTTTCAAACACCAGGAGACATCAGTTTTACCAGAACTGGCTCTTCTCAATGCGGTGGCCATCTAGCATCACTGTTCCCTTTGGCCTGAACTCTGGAGCCTGGGGGTGAGGGAAGGGGAATGAACTTATGTGGCCATGGCTAAGCATAAATGAAAGCTGTCCAGGCTGGGGGTGGGCAGCCTTTGTCTATGCCAGGACTTCTTCTGAAACTGTTCAATTTGAAAGTATTGCCCATATTGAGATGGGAGGATGAGGATGCTCAGGAACCCAGTCATCTTAAAATCACGGAGAGCTAGGCATAAAGGGCTTTCACCCTCTGGAGGGGTCCTAAGCTTGGTCCACGCACCTCAGGAGAAGGGACAGGCAGGGGCTGTGCCCTAGGCCCCAGCTGAGTTAAGCCTGCTGATGCTATTTTCAGGGAGCTCTGGCAGGATGTTCCGAGCTTCCCCGAAGAGTCTCAGCCTGTGACAGAACCTAAATTTACTTCTGTCCCCTGTGCAATCAGCTAAGCCTCCTTTTCCCTGGCTAAGACCACTGGGGACTTCCTGGTCGGGAGGGGAGGTGGGGGTGGGGGGAGAATGCAGGGGAAGCGCCGAATAAAATCTAAAGAGAACCCCTCTGGGAACAACTTACCCTGGTCTGAATGTATTTTTAACTTTTTAGGACCTGACAGAAGTAAAAGTATATTTAATGGCACAAAGGAAGATACTAAGGAAGATAATCAGTTGGCTGGTGGAGAAAAGGGAAGGAGGAAAGGGAAATATATTAATTCCATCATTGCTCATGGTAGAATGTCTGAGAATACTGTCAAATGACAAAACTAAAACAATTTAGTAATGCGTTTGATGTCTTTTATTCAAGGGAAAACAGTCCATGGATTGGGGGAGCGCAGTGCCTCACAAGCGGTGGAGCCCTCTTCCCAGGGAATTGGGGCAAGAGTAAGTTTTTATGGAGCGTTAGAAGAGGCAACTCGGACACAGGGCATGACGGGCTGGGGGTCAGGGATTTCCTTCTAAGGCTGGCACATCCTGTTTTCTAGCGTACGGTAACGCTGCTAAAGCTGAGTTGGAGGATTGTGATCATGATATTTTAGGTTTCCTTCACGGGTGTTTCTGTAAGTGCAGGCTTAGATTTAGATTTAGATCTTAGGGTTAGATTTCTGATGGGGGCTAGGCCACTGGAGTGGCCTCCATTTTCTGGGTCCTGATATAGGAGTTAACTTTATTAATACAACCAAAGTCATAGTTTATAAAAGCAACTTCTAAGATGAAAATACTGACCTTCTAAATTTTATAATAAACACACATGAACAGGGCAAAGAAAATGCAGGCAACATCATGAGACAGTTGCTGCCTATCAGAACCTTTGGAATTCAGCTTAAGAAGTTCTCAGAGGAAAATTCACATATTAAACAAGAATTACGCTTTTTTTTTTTTTTTTTTTGAGGAAGATTAGCCCTGAGCTAACTACTGCCAATCCTCCTCTTTTCGCTGAGGAAGACTGGCCCTGAGCTAACATCCATGCCCATCTTCCTCTACTTTATAAGTGGGATACCTACCACAGCATGGTTTTTGCCAAGCAGTGCCATGTCCGCACCCGGGATCAGAACCAGCGAACCCTGGGCCACCGAGAATCAGAACGTGCGAACTTAACCACTGTACTACTGGGCCGGCCCCAGAATTAAGCATCTTAAGATGTAAATATGTGGAAAAGATATGCCACTTTCATGGATCAGAAAACTTAATACTGTTAAGATAGCAGTTCTCCCCAAATTGATTTATAGATTCAACACAATCCCTATCAAAATTAAAGCTGTCCTTTTTCTAGAAATTGACAAGCTGACCCTAAAATTCATATGGAAATGCAAGGGACTCAGAATAGCCAAAACAATCTTGAAAAAGAATAATAAAGTTGGAGGACTCCCACTTCCTGATTTTAACACTTACTACAAAGCTACCATGATCAAGACTGTGTATACTGGCATAAGGACAGACATATAGTCCAATGGAATAGAATTGACAGTTCAGAAATAAACTCCTACATCTAATAAAGCCATACATCAACAAGAGTGTCAAGTCATTTAAATGGGGGAAAGAATAGTCTTTAACAAATGGTGCTGAGACAATCGGATATCCACTTGCAAATGAACGAATTTGGAAACCTAACTCACACTATATGCAAAAACTAACTCAAAATGAATCAAAGGCCCAGATATAAGAGCTAAAACTATAAAACTCTTAGAAGAAAAGAGAAGAGCTAATTTTTGTGACCTCAGCATAGGTAATGGTTTCTAAGGTATGACACTTAAAGCACAAGCAACCAAGGGAAAAAACCAGATAAATCAGATTTCATCAAAACTAAATAGTTTTGTGCTGCAAAATGATACTGCCAGACTCTTTACATAATGAGGGAAAGTATTTGTAAACCAAACCTGATAAGGGTCTAGTACCCGGAATATATAAAAAACTCTTCAAGCTCAACAACAAAAAGGCAAATAGCCCAATAAAAAATGGGCTGATGATTGTAAGATATTTCTCCAAGAAGATATAGAAGTGGCCAATAAGCTGATAAAAAAATGCTCAGCATCATTAGTTATTAAGGAAATGCAAATCAACACCACAATGAGATACCACTTCACACCCACTACAATGTCTATAGTCAAAAAGACAAACAATAACAAGTGTTGGGGAGGATGTGGAAAATTGGAACCCTCACACATTGCTGGTGGGAATGTAAAATGGTACAGCAACTTTGGAGAAGAGTTTGACAATTCCTTAAAAAGTTAAACAAAGAATTTCTGTATGACCCAAAAATTCCTTTCCTAGGTATATAGCCAAGAGAACTGAAAACATATGTTCATACTAAAACTTGTACACAAATGTTTAGTAGCATTATTCATAATAGTTAAAAAATGGAAACAATCCAAAAGTCCATCAGCTGATGAATAGATAAAATGTAGCATATCCTTACAATGAAATATTATTCAGCCATAAAAAGGAATGTTACAACAGGGATGAACTTTGAAAAGATTATGCTAAGTAAAAGAAGCCAGACACAAAAAGCCATATGTTTTGATTCCATTTATATGAAATATCCAGAATAGGCAAATCTATAGAGACAGAAATAGATTAGCAGTTACTAGGGGTTGGGGGAAAGGGACTGGCGAGAGCCTGCTAATGGGCACAGAGTTCCTTTTTGGGGTGATAAAAATATTCTGGAGGGGCTGGCCCAGTGGCACAGCAGTTAAGTTCACCAGCTCCATTTCAGTGGCCCGGGGTTCACCGGTTCGGATCCCGGGTGCAGACCTACACACCACTTATCAAGCCATGCTGTGGCAGGCGTCCCACATATAAAGTAGAGGAAGATGGGCACAGATGTTAGCTCAGGGCCAGTCTTCCTCAGCAAAAAAAGAGGAAGATTGGCAGGAGATGTTAGTTCAGGGCTAATCTTCCTCATAAAAAAAAAACAAATTCTGGAATTAGATAGCCGTGATGGTTGCACAACTTGTTGGTATACTAAAAGCCACTGAACCTTAAAAGGGTGAATTTTATCTCAATTTTAAAAATTGCCAAAAGGAAAATAATCACCAAAAAAAAAAAAAAAAGGAAGGAGCAACACAGAAAGTCTACTTAGTACCATTTACGGGAAAGAAGGATGCAGTAAATACATACTACTGCTTGCACGTGCATAGAATATTGCAACAATACACAAGGAAGTGGTAACAGATCAGCTCTGGGGAAGGGAACTGGTTGCTGGAGGACAGGAATGGGAAAGACTCTCACTGTTATACACTTTTGCTCCTTTTGAATTTTATACCACATAAATGTATTACCTATTTTTAAATATGAAAATTAAATTGATAATAACAGCTGACATTTACTGAGCGCTTCCTCTGTGCTAGGTACTGTTCTGAGTGCTTTATATTTATTTAATCTTCACAATGACATTCTTTTGTTCTATTTCTATCCTCATTTACGGAAAAGGAAATTGAAGCATAAATAAGATAAATTACATGCCCAAAAGAACACAGCTAGTAAGCAGCAGAGTTGGAATTTGAGCCCAGGTTGTCTGGCTCCAGAGTCCTTGCTCCTGACCACTACTCTATATTTAAAGGAGGGGTGGAGGAAGAGCTCAGGGTAGGTGGGTGAGGAGGAGAAAGGAAGGAGGGGGTATGAGACGGAGGAATGGACGGGGTGGAGCGGGCAGTAGAGGGAGAGGAGGAAGGGTAACGAGAGGAGGGAGAGGAGGGGAGGAGGGAATGTACAGACTAGACGGGATGATGCAGAGGGCAAATACAGGCCTCCTTTTCCCAAACGTCTCCCTGCCCGGCCTTCCAGTGTTGAAGCATCCTGGGTACAGGATAGCCTACTAGAGGCTGGGTCCCATGAAAGCCTGTGCAGCCTGGTGGTAAAGACCATAAACTCTGGAATCAAATTTAAGTTAGAATCCCAGCTCCACAATTTTGTGGCTGTGTTTCTTGAGGTAAAACCTTTCTAAGCTTCAGTTTCTTCATCTCTAATACAGGATAACTTTGTACTTGTGTCACAGAGTTAATATAAGGAT